CTAGGCTAGTTTTGAATGCGAAATGCGAAATAGTCGTGTTCACGTCAGTTATAGTTTTGTGATAAACAAAATATAGTTCACCTTGTAGCTTATATTTATATGCTTACAAGTAATGAAGAAATATCTAAAATTGAGAGAACATAACTTTAAAAACAAGTTTCTCCAGTCCCTGACGGACAAGCCATTGTTCGACAAACGCCTCGTCTTTCCCGATGAACTCACCCATGGCACTTTCCAAAACACGTGTGTCGAATGCCCCGGGGTCGCCCCAGGGTACGCAAATGCCCAGCCCCCGGGCCGCGATAAAATTGCGGATGCCCCACCCCAGGGACTGACAACGTGAGCAAATGCGCCGCGATTGCCCGGGGGGATGGGCACTGCTGGAATTGACTGATGCATTAGTTCGAGGATATTGCATGAGGTAGCTTTATGCGGATATATTTTCTCTTGGCGGATATAAACACCAACCGCTCGGTTTAGATTTTTTGATCAGTATAAATAGGAGGTTTACTGGCTTGCTGTAAGCTAGTGCTGCTTAAAGGACTGTTTACGCTAGATTCAAAAGTCAACAAATGTAATCGAATCAAATGAAAAAGCCAACGCAGTTTAAGTGGCAGTCCCCCTAAAAGCGGTCCACTCGACTTCGGGACCAAAAATAACTTTCCTTCATTTTTTGTCACTGAAAAGGGTTTGACACATATATATATATATATATATATAAAAGCAATTTACTATTTTCCAATTCCTTATTTTTGCTTTGCTACGAGCCAAAATTGAATTTTGGCCGAACTGAGGTTGCCGACNCGTGATCAGAAAGGTAAAATTCACCGATTTTGTGAAGCGTGCTACGTCGCCTAAAATGCAGCTCACGGAATTTCGTTCCATACCAAATTTAAGGTACATTCATTACTTTGACTGACGAAATATGGAAACTTTTCGAAAAATTCTACGCTTACCAGCGGGGCTGGAAGACACCCTACTCCGAGGCCTTTGATCACCTACTAAAATTTAGCCAAATTTGACGGGGAAAAT